CCCCAAAACCCCAAAACCCCAAAACCCCAAAACCCCATTTTTACAAACCTTATTGAAGCCACACTCTTAATAATCAAAGATGTCTGAGATGTTTAGAATGGTTTAAATCTACGCTTCTTTCTTGCTTGCCTAGCCTCTCATGATTCCTGCGTGTCCTCAATAATTTCTTCATTTTCCTCTAAAACTCCATTTTGATGTTCTTCCTTAGAAGCTTCAATTTTAAACTCGTGGTTGATTTCTAGACTTGTCTTCTCCTCTTCTTCAGGATTATGTCTGTAATGGTAAAGATCTCCTCTGTCAGTAGACACAGCTATATTTTCTTGGTCTATTCAAAAAGCATTTCTGATTACAATGCTCTCAGTTGATTCAGGATCTGCAGAATCCTGATCACTAGTGAGGATCATGTCCAAGAACTGGAAGTCATTGTGTTCTTTGTCATATTGGTAAATATAGGCTTCGCCAAGATTATTGCCCATGAAGAAGAGCATCCTATCATCAAGAAATTGTGCCTGAATAGCGTAATTTATATCATAATCGAAGTTGTCCAAGGTCTTTACTGGAAGCATGGTCTCAAGACTGAGAATTTCAACAGTGTTGATACTGGTGATGAGATAAGCCAAGCCTGTATCTCCAATGAAGCCTCAACTAGCTAATGGCTGCTCTGATGTATATGTAGCTTCTACATAATCATCCTCCTTCTCTGCATTTTCAAGGTCAAGTAGGTTGCAAACTCAATCCTCTCCTGAGGTGAGAATAAGATTAGGATTGGAAGCACTATACTCTACCTTTGTAACTTCATCACAATGGAGTTCAGTGAAATGATGGAGCACTTTCATCTTCCTGAGGTCCCAGATCATCACTGACTCATGAGATCCTGCTATAATTTGCTTTCCGGTGTTGTCAACTCAGTAAAGCTCCCTTGAATTAGGAGAGTTGACTGAGAAAATGCATTCAGCTGCTCGCTTATCCCAGAGTTTCAAGGTTTTATCATACGAAACACTGATGACTGCATTTTGGAGGTGTTCATCGTTTATATCACTGAATTTTACTTCAGAGATTCTGTCTGCATGCCCTTTAAACTCCAAATCTGGTGTGAAACCTAGAGATTATAACTAGAAATACCTTCGTTCTGAATTTTGAAAGTTGTAAGAGAGAAATCAGTATTTGCAGAAATCACTTCTGTTTTGTCCATAAGGTTGTACTTGAGGCTCAATGAGAATATCTCTTCAGGAAATGCGAACTCGTTAAACTTCCTGAAATTGCTACGTCTGTCGTACAGCCTGTACTGTACATTTTCTTCAATTAATTCCTAAAGTTGACTAAAGCTTCCTACCATAATGGCGAGTTTTCAAAAATTTATATTGACTAAGGGGTTTTGGGGTTTTGGGGTTTTGGGGTTTTGGGG